TCAGCAAGTGATACAGAGCACACAGATCGTCACACTAGCTTCTTCTCTCATGGCCTTCTTAAGTAAGACCAGAAGTTGAGAGTCTTTACAACCTGAGAAGGAAATCTGTGACGCAAGCTAGCAAAAGCCCGCGGCAAGGAAGGTAAGGACCACACTGATTCTGGGACCAGCATTTCTAAGCTTAAAAACTGAAGTGAAATTTGGTAACAGCTCTGGAGCATCACTCAGAGAGTGAACTCACCAGTGTGAGACTGACAAGCATTATGAGAAACAGAAGTCAGCATTGCGTAGACATCAATGTGAGAATAGGTTTATTCCCATGGTTTGGGGTCACACTGTCAGCTTTTCACAGGGCCACTTAGCATATCCTATGAATAGACTCAGGAACTGAAGTTTCAATCCAACCAATATCCCATTTACACCAAGCACACACTAAATCACAGACCTCCACCTAAATCATTACAAATGGCAATTTCCTCCATTTCCCAGCTCCTGCCAAGCAGAACAGCTCTCCTTCATCTCAAGAACTGCTTTGTTGGTCAGATTTTATCAAGTTGTGGAAGAAGCGCCTGAACTACAGTGCTGTTACTTCTTGGCATGGCTGTGTTCTTACCTTGCATGCTGGACACCAGAGCCTGTCTGGAGCAGAAGCTGGAGGTGCACGAAGAATACAAGATCAAATTATCACTGAGGACAACAGGCCTCTACTTCTAGCATGGACCTAGTTCCTGCTGTCCACTTATGGAGATCAAAGGTATAATTTACTTAGAGGATGAATTATTTGTGCGTAAACAGCCACTAAATAATAATACAGAGAAGATGCTAATAAATTCTAATGGGTGGCATAGCAGCCTGCACTAGACAAGTGACCTGAGCATCTTGCTAGTTACATAAACTGAAGCAGGAGGGAATCTGATGCTGATGACAAACCCTCATTGTGAGTAACCCTGGCAAAGTCTTTTAGAAAGCAATTTGGGGGTAAATTTAAAGAAAATTGGGCACTTCCCTCCTAGTAGAAACTAACTTTAAGGATCTGATTTCTTTCCCTGTTCACATGCAACTGAAAATGGCAGTAACTGCTGCTATTTTGTTTCAAAGACTGATTATCTTGAGGGGAGGAAAGGGGAATACTTGTCTGTTCTCATGAAAAACTGCAGTAGTGTTAGGAGTTGACGAAAGAGCATCCTTCTTCCAGGGAGGAGGAAAAGACTGTTCTGAATGAGGAAAGCTTGTTAGAGCACTCATCAACTGCCAGGACCAGCACCTACTGCGTTTCTTATGATTCTTACATACAGACACACTCCTGGGCTTCAGTCTTTTCAGTTTCATTTGAATGCATTTCATTGTGGCCTATAAAGTCTTAAAATACAGCACTAAATGATGTTTCAGTTTGTTCTGCCTGCAGCTTTGGGAGTGACCATACTGCACCCCCAGACTGGAATTCAGCTTCTAGAAATAGAATAAACATTTAACTAGCAGTCTTCCTCCTCCACGCCCTCAAAAGCCTGTGAACAGGAGAACAAAGGTTCTCAAGATGAACTGGCCCATCCACACATCAGGATGACCTCTACAGCCAATAACAGACATGGGAGCAATGTGCTTAGAGTAACAGCCAGACTTTGAATACAGAACCCAAATAATTTGGCATTTACATCTTGGTCGGCTGGGACCTCTCTTTTACTCAAGGTAAAAGCACAGTTTGGAGTCACTCACTGGGATTGTTAGCACAATGCCTGACGGTCCTAAAGAAAAAAATACATGGAAGCAGCAGTTTTTCTAGAGACATCCCAGTGACTTAAAATACATGCAAAACCACTCCAAGAGCAAACGATGGGAAGGTAATAAATGCAGCACTGTATATTATAGCAAAGGATGGGAAGTGGGGTGGTGGTTAATGAGGTTATACTGAATAGTGTTGGACCCAGGCATGATGTAAATGGTATGGAATGAGGGGTGGAATGTCTTGCTTTTGGATGGGTTAAGGTTGATTTCTTTACAGTGGCTAGTATGGGGCTCTCCAAGAGCAAACGATGGGAAGGTAATAAATGCAGCACTGTATATTATAGCAAAGGATGGGAAGTGGGGTGGTGGTTAATGAGGTTATACTGAATAGTGTTGGACCCAGGCATGATGTAAATGGTATGGAATGAGGGGTGGAATGTCTTGCTTTTGGATGGGTTAAGGTTGATTTCTTTACAGTGGCTAGTATGGGGCTAAGTTTGGGTTTTGTGCAGAACAGAACATTGATAATGCAGAGATGTTTTTGTTATTGCTGAGCAGAGCTCACACAGAGCCAAGGCCTTTACTATGTCCTGTACTGCCACATGGCAAGGGAGTTGGGGATGCATGGGAGACTGGGAGGAGACACAGCTGGGACAGGTGACCCAACCTGACCAAAGGGATATTCCATA